TGCTTTGTCAGTTCCACCCGCCCCCCCTTCCTGTATTGAGCTGCCTGGCCGCCCCTAGCAACTGTAATCATGGCATAATTTTATCAGATCTGTAAAACCTGCATACGCGTTCTGCTTATGGCTGCTGCCTCTCCTTGTGCTGCTCTCGCATCAAATGAGGTCATCCCCATTGTCTGTACGTGCCCACACGATGAAGCAAAGGACTACCACCCTGACTCTGACTCATTTGTGTGTGGCACTCCAAAACTCTACGTTTTCTTCAGGGCTCTTGACAACAATCAGCTCTCTGGCTCTATTCCATCCAGCATAAGCTCCCTCTCAAGACTAGCACTACTGTACGGTCTTTCCTTTCTCCTTTTCTCCACTTGCTGTATCTCTCTCCCTCCGCCGTTTCTTTGTCTGCTGTTGTCATTCCCCTCTTTTCTCCCGTCTTCTCTTTCCCCTTGTCACGTTGCTGCTCCACTCATCCTGTCATATCAAGACATCGGAAGTACAAAAAAAAATTTTTGCGGCACTGTTTAAAATCAACTCTATTTCTGTCGCCCCAACCTCTCATCACAAATCAGAGAACTATCTCACAACCAGCTCTCTGGAACCATCCCTGCCTCCTTCTGCTCCCTCACCAAATTAACTGTCATGTACGTAGTGCGTACCAGCTGACTTCTGCAATCCATTGTGCATCAGCATGACTACCATGCGTTTCTCAGTTGCATTGCCCTCCATGCCAAGGTGGTTTTGCTTTCTAGCAAGGAGCACGCACGCCCTGATCCTAATGAATCTGCCTGTCATGTCACACACTTGTTTCTTCCGCTCACGTGCTTTGATTGGCTACGACCACCAACATGAACTCATGAAAAATATTAAATGATAGAGACGTTTCCCAGCTGTGTTCTCTGCTATCAGTCAGCAAATATGGGCCATGCCACCTCATGGCACATCTCTCCCACTCAAGGTGCAAAAAAACGACATTTTTGTTTTTCAAATTTCGACCGTAATACCGTATCGTAAAACACGGTTGGAAAAAAAAAAAAAAACGTTTTGTTTTTCATATATATATTTCTGGTGCAAAAAAACCGTCGCTAAAACAAGGGGATTGATTGGTGAGTAGAACAAGGGGGTCGTTAGAAGTGCTGATGGCACCAGAAGATTGTTAGAAGTTATTTTGTGCTCAGAACAGCATTTTTTTAAGTTGAAGAGTTTTTTTTGTCCAATAAAAAAACACCGTTTTTTTTCCAAAAGGTACCGTAAAGAAACATCGAAAAAAAAAAAAACAATCGTATTTTTCGACAATCGTTTTTTTCTACCTTGCTCCCACTGACAAACTGAGGACATGTTGCTTCACTGAAATGGCCTCATTGTGTGTGAGCTCACATGTTTCACTTCACGATCATGCCAAAGCAACCGTGCCCACGTGGTAGATCTGTGAAAGCCGCCCGCCTCCTTATTAAAAGCTGCCCATTAAGCGTTTCGAACCTGGTTAGTAGGCTACCCCTAATTTTTCCACCCTGTGTCTCCACCACCACATGGGCATCAGGTCTCTTGCATCGAACAAGCTGTATGGCGGCATTCCTGATAGCTTCTCCCAGCTCACACAACTCAACTATCTGTAAGCCACCACACCACCGTTTGCACCATAAACCTCGTCATTTGGTATTCAAAAAGAGTATATTTGTACAATATGGTGGAATTAAGGGAATATTCAGCTGCATTATTGGTAGGGTTGAATACGAACGTGTTTGGGTAAAAATCTCAAACACGAGCGGGTAGCGTTGAGAAAAACTCGAACCCAAACATGTGAACGCTTTTAAAGTGGGTGTTTGAGTGTCCGCCTTTGTAGGCAAACGCTTACGTGCTTGCCCGGAATACAATTGTGGTCAAGGCGAACATGATTGTGTTCAAGGTTGTTGGTAGTGTCTTGCAATGTATACGAGTACCATACTGACGCTATGGTTCTGGGGTGTTGTGGAGATACGAAAGCACAGTGGTAACAGCTGTTTGCAACATATACAGAGATGCTATGGTCCGTTTACAGAATTAGCATAATTGTGTTCATTTCAAGTAATTCAAACATCATGTTCATGTTCGGCAAGGCTTGGCGCTGACAACAGAACTGAACCGAAAACGTTTGACCATGTATTTGTCCTGAACTCTTTTAGCAAAAAAGGAAACACCTGTCTGGTTTGACTCAAACTCAGAACAGGTGTTTGACTTTTTGCTTGTTCCTTATTCATGGTGTGTAAACAGACGGCTTTATAAAGGATACAACAAACCTTAATCGTGAATCCTCTAAAATATGATGTTTCAATATACGAATTTTAACTTCCATAGCTGAAAAAGGTTCACAGCTACTATTATCCACCTCTGACGAACTGTAAAACTTTGTGATTCCTTCAGCTCGAGGTTCAACCTGCAGGTCCTTGGGCCTCGATCAATCCTACATGTGTCATATGATCTGCGGGCGTGATATTGATCTACTTTCATCATTCTGCAAACATTTATCATCGTCTCTTTTCTTTTTAGGTTTGCATTGCTCAAGTATACGATCTTTCTTCCTCTTTCCCCCTCCCTTTTCTTCTCGCAGCGACCTCTCCAGCAACTACCTTGCCAGCCCCGTTTTGCTGCCCCCCATCAGCACCCTGCGTCTCTCGAACAATTTTCTCTACGGTCCTCTGCCTGACGGGGCATGCCAGGCTCGCAATTTTGATGGCAACTGCTTCACACTGTCTTCTGGCTGCGCCGAGGTGGTGCAGCGACAGGAAGCAGCATGCAATGCATTCTGTGGCGTCTCCTCTGCAGCTGCAGCTGCTCCCTGTGGTGGAAGAGGGGTGTGCGTTCCAGACGAGGTTACCCTGGCCCCAGCCTGTTTGTGCGATGCGGGGTTCATCCAATCTGGAAGGCTCACCTGCGTGGCTGAAGGTATGGTATGGAGCTCCCTGGGTCCGGTGCACACAGAAGTGGGGCATATGCAGAAGGGGTGGTACTTGGCATGGACACTCTTTCTACAATGGACGTGAATCCATGCGCCCTGCGGTGGCCTAAGTTGCAGAAGACGCGTCTAGCGTCTTAGACGCTGGGATAGACGCATACCCGGGCAGGCCAAAAAAACGTCCGGGCAGCAAAATAACCCTCTTATAGGGCATGGGGAGGGCGGAAAGAAGGACATTGCACACATTTTGGCAAAAAGGGTTGAGGGTTTTTGAAGGAGAATTGAGTTAGCTTAGGCTTGAGCAAGAGGCGAACACGAACATGTTCGTGTTCGCCAGGACGAACATGTGACCCTGGCCGAACTGAACAGTGTTCGGTTCGCCGCAAACATTTCTGTGAAAATGGTGTTCGCCTGTTCGCCTCTAGGGGCGAACACCCCTATGTTCGCCCCGAGCACGAACATGTTCTTGGCGAACATGTTCATGCTCGACTTTTCAACAGCCGTACGATGGGTGACATGGGCTTCTAGTTATGGCATGGGTGTCGGTTTCAACAAGGGGAGATGCTATGGTGCGTGAAGTTTAGTTTTTTCGCTGGCCATGAACACAAGGCGAACACGAACATGTTCGTGTTCAGCGCGGCTTGGCTAGCCGCGGCGAACCGAACACCGAACATGTTCGCCCTGAAAACTTCCGGCCAAAAAAGAGAAAGTGTTCGGTTCGCCTCGAACGTGATCGCCCTTGTGCTCATGCCTAAGTTAGCGTGTAAACCCCATGGGCTTCTTAAGGAGAATTGAGTTGAACTAGATATGAGGAGCACAGATGAGGTGGTTGTGTTGTGCTCCTATATGCCTTTGGTGGTGGTCCACAAAGAGCTTTGAGGTTGCAATTTTGGCTGGGGGGTAACAAAAGTTGGTTGGGGGGGGGGGGGCTGTTTTTCATGGTCCAAATGGGTGGGACCAGGTAGAAAAAAATTGATTGTCGAAAAATACGATTTTTTTTTTCAATGTTTTGTTACGATACCTTTTGTGGAAAAAAAAAACGGTGGTTTTTTATAAGACAAAAAATACTCGTCAACTAAAAAAATGCTGTTCTGAGCACAGAAACACTTCTAACAATCTTCTGGTGCATCATCAGCACTTCCAACGGCCCCCTTGTTCTACTCACCAATCAATCCCCTTGTTTTAGCAGCAGTTTGGTCTTTTTTCTGGAAAAAACGATGGTTTTTTTTTGCGGCAAAAATATATTTTTTTTCCAGAAACCTTTTTTTTAATCGTTTTTTTTACGATACGGTATTTTACGGTCAAATTAAAAAAAAAACAAAAAAACAAAAAAACAAAAAACGCGTCGTTTTTTTGCACCCACCGTGGGAGGGGGTTCAAATGTCGCGAAATTGAATTTCACGTCAAAATTGTGTAATTCAATTTCGCGAGTGCGATTTTTTTTTTCGGGCTGCCGAAAAAAATTCCCCATGCATCTAGCGTCTTCGTGAGCGTCCAGCGTCCTGCGTCCAGACTCTTCGGCTGGACGCAGGACGCAGGATGCTGCGGGTGTTTTCTGCAACTTAGGCGGTGGCCCACATTCCACCCTTGTGGTGGTATTGCTCTCGTGAGGCCTCAATTCATCATCATCTGCCATTACCAGAAATTCTCGCATTTCAAAATTTTCACCCATAATATTTCTCCTTGTATGCTCTGCATGTTTGCAGGCACCACCAACAGTACCTCGGGCAGCACCAACAGTACCTCGGGCAGCACCAACAGTACCTCGGGCAGCACTACTAACAGTACCTCTGGCAGCACCAACAGTACCTCGGGCAGCACCAACAGTACCTCGGGCAGCACCAACAGTTCCTCAGGCAGCATCAACAGTACCTCGGGCAGCACCAACAGTACCTCAGGCAGCACCAACAGTACCTCGGGCAGCACCAACAGTACATCTGGCAGCACCAACAGTACCTCGGGCAGCACCAACAGTACCTCGGGCAGCACCAACAGTACCTCGGGCAGCACCAACAGTACCTCGGGCAGCACCAACAGTACCTCAGTCAACCAGCCGATTCTCCCGCCAACAACCATGCTCACCAAGGGGACGCAGAAGGAGACGGGGGGGATTTTCACTGCGGCTCCAGTGCCTCTGTTTGTGTACGGGGCAGGGCAGGAGGCGGCGGGGTGTGGAGTGCAGCTCGCCTTCCAGGCCAACTTCACCTTCTCCCTCTCCCCTCAATCCAGCCGTGTTGGCAACAATGGCTTCGCCTTTGTTGTCTCGGCAACGGACCGGGTGGGGAGTGGATCTGGTGTGGGGTATGGTGGCATGGACAGCCGGAGCATGGCAGTTGAATTCGACACCACACAGGACAAGAAGCACGGCGATATGAGCACCCCGCATGTGGGGCTGAACATTCAAGGCCAGGACCAATCAATAGCCGCTGTGAAGTCGCCGTTTGAGCTGAGCAACAGAAAGGCGTACACAGCGTGGGTGGACTATGAGCCTGGGGAGCCCGGCACCATCCAGGTGTTCCTGGCTGCCACGTAGGTGAAGCCAGTGCAGCCGCTGTTGGAGAGGAGGCTGGCGCTGTGTGAGGTGCTGCAGGCTGGAGCAGAGCAGCCGGCGTTCTTCTTTGGCTTCGTGGCATCCACCAATGTGAAGCCCTTCCAGATGCATCTTATCCTCAAATCGGCAGTTCACACTGGTGAGGGCAGGTCCAATGCAATGGTGGTTGGGATGATGCTGATGGTGATCAGATCATGACAGTGGTGCTGATGGTGTTGGTGAGCGGGAAGATGAACTGGTTGTATGCTCCTTCTTACTGTACTTTGATTCAGAATAACGAGCTGTGGCTGCCATGCCTGTGTGCTTTCTGCAGGCCTTCCAGCTCCACGCAAGCCGGTGGACATCATTCCAGGTAAACAGCCCCTTCCCAGGAAGACATTCCTGGGAAACAACTATCATCCTTCTCGTCAAATCCCTGCATGGGCGTCATTCGGCTTCTTTCTCCAGGTCCAGGTCCTGGTCCTGGTGCTTTCATTGTGCAGCGCTCCCCCGTGCTCTCTCTCTCTCTCTCTCTCTCTCTCTCTCTCTCTCTCTCTCTCTCTCTCTCTCTCTCTCTCTCTCTCTCTCTCTCTCTCTCTCTCTCTCTGTGACTTGCCCCTTTTTTCAGCGATTTGAAGTGAACACATGCACACATGTGCAATCACCCACATGCCTCCCCATCTCCCCTCGTTTTCCCTGCCCAGCCTTTGGTCTAACTCTCTCTATGGAGTCGTATGCACCTGTGGGAGCCAGTCCCTTCATGCGCTACATGAGTGTGGACTACCAGGTGTTAGCCAACCAGCAGAGTGCATGGCAAGTCAGCGCTTCCCACTCCTGGGACTCCATGCCCTTCCTCGGCTGGCCGGTCAAGAACCAGAATGACTGCAGTGAGTGGGCCTGAGGAAGGTTTGGAGTATATAGAACAGTTTTTTTGTGGTACTTTGTACCCCCTGGCACTCTTTCTTTACCTGTAATGCGCATTGGATTGGCATCTGCGGCGCTTTATTAAGTTAGCCCCTGCCTTGCGTCTCCCTTGAACACTGCCCCGTTCAGGTGCGAGTTGGGCGTATGCGGTGGTGGCGAGTTGCAGAAAAAAAACTGTTTGACCAGAATCAAGCATTTTCGGTTCGGGACGAACATGCTCAGGGTTGCCATTTGATTGTGCCTAGGCGTGAGGGCAGTTGGGAGTAGATGGATGGGGACAGAACTGTTGTGATGTTTTTCACCCCTGGCACTCTCTCTATACCTGTAATGCTCCTTGGAGTGACATCTGCGGCGTTAAATTCAATCAACCTCTGCATTCCATTCCCCTCTCAAATTGCCCCGTTCAGGTGCGAGTTGGGCGTATGCGGTGGTGGCGAGTGTGGAGGCAGCGTACGGCATTGCGCTGAGCAGTGAGGCGCCACGGCTGTCAGTGGACTCGCTCTTTGCAGCCATGGGGCTCACCTCCCTCACTGCCAAGTGCATGGCAGGCGGCTCTCCTGCCGCGGCCTTTGAAAAGCTTCTCACTCTGCCCTCTGGTGGACTCACAACCGACAGCAAGCCGGTAGGAGAGAGCTTTGAGCACGAGACCAATCTAATGCGGCAAGTGTGTGCCAGCAATATTGAGCGACCGTACAGAGCATAACGTGGAGAGCAGCTGCATTTGATGCAAACAGACATGCTTACAGTGCCTCTGAGACTAGAAGCTATCTGGTACACCAGGTTACCCCTTTCTGGGGACAAGATTCTAGGAGTTCAATTTTGGCCAACAAGATTGCAGTTGACTGTACCTTTTTCTCTTCCTCTTCTGCTCCCCCAGCCCTCACCCAGCTACGTGCTGTTTCGACCAGTTGTTGATTTCTCTCCGGTTCACTTGTGTGTGTTCTAATTCACAGATATTGAAGCACCCCATTCAGGGATTTGAGCGCACGCGGTTCAAGGGGTATGTGGGGCTCATGCTGGCGGTGCGGCGGCAGCCAGTGGTGGTTCACATTGAAGCATCTGCTGCAACATTTGTACAATATGATGGGGTGAGAACTGATTTTCTGAACATGTGGTCATGCGCCCATGTTTTGCAATCATCCTTGTCAGCATAGAAGATCCCTTGTCAGCAATTTTCTCCTTCACATTGGAAAAGATGCCATACATAACAAATGTTTTATGTGACAGTGTACATGTCTACCTTCTCTGTGTCACCGTCTCTCCTTCTGTCGTGCAGACCTTCAAGTACCAGGATCCTGACTGCTACACTGGCAACCTGGACCATGCTGTACTCGTTGTTGGGTACCTCCTTTTCACAAACAATGGCCGCCAAAGCACCACTTCTCCACCGTTCTGGATCATCCGCAACTCGTGGGGAGTGGAGTGGGGAGACAGGGGCCACATGCGCATGGACATTCAGGGAGGGGATGGCGTGTGTGGCATCAACGTGCTGCCTGGCATCTACCCCATTGTCAAGAGTGAGTCATCTACCCCATTGTCAAGAGTGAGGCATCTGAAATATCATGTATACTTTCTGAATTTTCTCAGCAGGCAGAGACACCTTACCACTTCTGTTTCAGCCCACTATTGTTCACACACGCTACCTTCCCTGTCCTCCCACTATTGTTCCCACGACCCTTCCAGTTCCCAAGGATCCATGCGGCCAGAAGAGCTACAAGGGCAGTGGGGATCTGCAGCCCAGCATGAACCCGTGCGGTCGCTTCACTTGCCAGCCGAACACAAAGACCAACAGAAACACCTGCAACTGCACCATTCCGAACGAAACCAAGCAGCCTTTTGTTGAAGTTCCGAATGGGTCTGGCTCCAATACGTGCGCATATGGTGAGTCGTGCTTATGCCCAAACATGTCTTCCTTAACCACAGCGTATTGCTCTTCCCTTGCGGTACGTCCTCTACAGTGCAAAAACGTTGAACTTTTCCATCATAGACATAATTCTGGTTCTTCAGTACGTTTAAGATGTCCGCGACTGATGGCAGGGGCGCCTACTCCTGCATCTGCCTTCCCAAATGCTGGTTATCAATGGTTCTCGTTTGAATGCTTCGGATCTAAACGCTGGTGTCCTCCATGCCCCTCCTTCACCTCCCCCTCCCCTCCTCTCATTCCCCTTCCGCACCACCCCTCTCAAATCAAAAGTACAATTCCTCCCCTGCCGCGCATGTCGTCCCTGCTGCCAACTCAACAGTTGATGTGTGCGATTCCTACTCTAGCAACCCCTGTGTCGTGGGGACATGCATCAATGATGGCAAGGGCGCCTACTCCTGCATCTGCCCTCCCAACTACGTTGGCAGCATAACCGTTGACAACCTCCCCACCTGCGACCCAGGTGCTGTTACGTTAACCTCACTCACGCATTGTCGATATGAGGATGCCTCAGAATGCAGTTTCATAAGTTATTTGTCGACTGTCTAGATCCACCGTCTTCAGTACATTCCCTGTGTGATGCATGACATTCTGCTATGGTAGACTCGTCTACATTCCCTTCACACCTCCTCTTCTCACCTCCTTCCTCCTCTCCTTGCTCCAGCCAACACCACAGTCTCCATGTTGACAGTCACTGGCGCCAACTGGTGGTGCTCAGATGTCTTCCCTGTGGCCGGCGTCTCCTTGGCTGGCTTCACGTCGCAAAACATGGTGAGAGGGCCAACGAGTAGGCCACGCTTGCATGGAAATTGCCAAGTGAGTGGTGGCAGATCGGTTTGTAGACTGGGTGGCCTTCGAAATTCCAGGCCTTTCCTGTAACAAAGTGACGCCGTGGGACACGTGTATCTACCACATGATTTTTTTGATCCATTATGCGTGTGCTTCATTTGCAGGCCATTGCATGCAACCAGCCTTTGCCACAGGGCAAGGTGATAACGTTGGGAGGCACTCCCACCACCTCCTGTACTGCATTCTTCTATGCCCTCAAAGTGAGCCTGGCCCAGGGAATCAAGTCTTTTGGGATCTCTGGCTTTTCTTGTTTTGTTACAACGATCTCCCCCCCCCTCCCCTCCCTCCTCCCCCCTTCCCCCCCTCCCCCCCCCCCCCCCCCCCCCCCCACCTCCCCCTCACATTTTTACGATTGAAGAAGATCCCCCAGATACCTAAAAGAAATAGAATCATTAAAATCATCTCCCACCCCCCCCCCCCCAACTCACTCTCTCTCCCATCTCTCCCTCATCCCCAACCTTCCCCCTACCTTTTGATATTGAATTCACCATCCGCAATGTATCTGGCCATTCAACAGCAGCATAATGTGAACATGTCATCTCTTGTCGTCTCTTCCCCACTCACTCCACCCTCCAGGGCGACACCTGCTCCTCTATCAGCGTCCACCTGGGACTCGCATCGATGTACCTTGCCTCTCTCAATCCCGGGTTGGACTGCTCTGAGCCCATCAAGGCGGGCCGCTCTCTCTGCATCGAGCGCAACGCCACCTTCACCTTCACCGTCCCTCGGTGCTTGCAGTACGGCATGCTCTCAGCTCAGGACACGTGCGAGAGCCTGCTGCTGCAGAGCATGGATTCAAGTGGGGGTGGGTCCACAGGGGTTCAATTGGTGACTGCAGCCAGCTGGACTGAGCTCTATCGCAACAATCCCGGCCTCATCTGCCCCCGCACTATCCCTGCCTCCAGTGCCACTGTTGCCAGTGAGGCCAGCACACAGGTGAGGGGTGGAGGAGGATAACAAGTAGATGGAAAGGAATATGGAGGGTTTTTTGCTGTGAACCATATCCTAGTGATGGCATCCTTGATTTTAATTATTCCCACTTTTGCTTGTCTTCTATATGCACCTTCTATCCCAGGTTTGCCTCAAGTCAGACTACGAGTCCATAGATACTTACACTTGCAAGATAGGCAGGCGTAAGGTGGTATCACCTTTGCTCACCTGCCCAGGTGCTTTCAGCTTCTTCGGTGGAGCTAAAACGGGACCAGCTGCAAGGTTCTTTGAATACAATGGAAGGGCATGTTCAGACAATGTAGGGCTTAATTGGCTCTGTGTACCATAGTGACTCCTGGTGCTCGGAGGGGCCTTGAGCGTTTGCTATTGAGACACCTCTAGGGGTAGTTTTACTGTGACATACTTTTTCGCAAACGTATTCTACCGTAATCACCCGTATAAACGCCCTAGGTTGCTCTGAAAATTATATCAAACCGTTGGGGTGGGTGTTATTAGTGCATCAAACTTATAGCACCCGGATGCTTATTGATAGACATATTCTTTTATGAGTGAACATTGGGAAAGATGTTGCAACTCTCTTTGGAGACGACGATATTGTGATTAGCGTGCAGGGCAAAACCGCATAATCACGTCCCTCGTTCCTGCGTGCCAACTTGGTGTCCCTGTGCCATGCATGTCACCCATTCTCCACTTCCTGCACTTCACATGTGTCTCGCCGACAGCACATACAACAACACACGTGCCCCCTCCCCTCCTAGGCACACGCGTAGCAAAGTGCTGTAGCGAGCACTCACTTCCACACGCGACGCGAACAAAATCTTCAAAACAAGAGGCGACGAAATCGTGTTAGGGTTGCGAAGCAACATTACACTGTTATTTTTGCATACTCCTGACCTACGGTATAATGAGGATTATATAATATCGTAACATAACTTCGATATTTGATGAATTTCTGCTATTTACTGATACACTTGACATATAATATAGGAATATACAAATGAATGGTTGTGGTCGTTTAGGGTGTAGAATCTGAATGTTAAGAAGATTCTGTATGGCAAGTTATTCTTGTTCTGAATCAACAAAACTACAAAACAGAACAAGAAAATGAATTTCTAAATGTAATGGGCCGACTAGATTTAACTCCAGACTTTCGGGAGATAGTCCGAAGTCGACAGCACTGTGCTAAGCACGCTGTTGTAGAGGTGGCGTTTAACGTAATTGTCTAAAGCCACGATGAAAAACGTCCCGTCTAGGGTTTCGTCGAATGTCTTTTCGCTTCGTTTCTCTTCCACCTAGTCAGATTACTCTAGCTTCTCCCGTCCCTCACGCCAGTCACGCCACTCACACCACTAGACTAAAGCTTCTATTAAGGTAAGCCTCATTCTCTCTATTCTTAAGCTCAATCTAGTTAAGAGTGGGTTCTAGTTTAGCTCATTATGGTTGAGAGTTGTTTTTTTTACGAGATCTAGACGTATTCTGTTTCTTAACCTCGCTTTCTTCCTAAGTTAATTGCTTGCTCGTTTCAGCTCCTGCTCTTACTTTTGTCTTCTTCCGTATGCTGTTTCTTGATTCCTTCCTCCACCTTAATTGAATTTTGAAGTGATATTAACAATTCTGTTCAGAGAGTGAATTCACTAGGTAGAAGCATTTTCTTTCTCATCTCTCTCTCTCTCTCTCTCTCTCTCTCTCTCTCTCTCTCTCTCT